TATGTATTCATCAAGTGGATCTGGCCAATGAAATTATTTCTGGGATTAAAAGCTTACAAACATTTAATGAGCATCCATTGTGTGTTGTTAACTATGCTCGGAAATTTCAGATCGATTATTTTATCTGATCTTTATAGCAATCCTTTAAAGAATTGTTATGCATGAGTACAGGAGGGGTGGCTGAGTCACTCTCTAGAGGCCGGTGACCAATGATATTAACGATGTGATTTGTTTAACAGGCACCTTTCTCTTTTCTTACATAATAAAAGCTATCGTCTTGTTTCACAGTGATTGGGGAAAGTCATATTGTGATATTTTTATCAGATGTTGTTACTGTGATAAGTATATAATCTTTTATTTGTAGTTCTTAAGCAAGTCTGCGTTGTGAACTTCCTAGTTTTTTCCAAGAATTGACTTCCCCAGCCTCACAGATGGAAACCCTGGTGACAGTGTTTAAGAGCCACGGCTGCCAACCAAAAGGTCAGCAGTTCAAATCTACCAGCTGCTCCTTGGAAACCCTATGGGGCAGTTCTCCTCTGTCCTCTAGGGTCGCTGTGAGCTGGAGTCGACTCGATGGCAACGGGTTTTTTTGTTGTTCTTGTTTAGCCTCACAGATAGAAACTCTGGTCCGGATGGATCGATTTTCTATTTTCTCAACTTGATTTCCTGTCCTCTTTTCTTCACCTATTGAGATTTTATGTATTCTCAAAGCCTACATTCAATGTTGCCTGTTAGGGAAGCTTTTTCTGGTCATCCTAGTTGGAATTTGACTCTCGTTTGTCCACCCGTAACCCAGTGATTGCTTCACGTTAGCCCTTACTATATATGCTATTTATAATGAAGCATATTATTTATGGATATGCTTACCTTTCTTGGTTGTAAGCTCTTTGAACAGACTGACTGTGAACTGTTCATATCTGTGCCCACAATGCTTAGACCAGATCTTTGCACTTATTAGAGCTCAATTATTGAAGTGAACCAGATGTTGTTTTTACCATTGAATGCATTTTTGAGATATTTTGTCTGTACTGTGTATATCTAACTACATACAGATATCTAAATTACACATGGGATGCCTCTGTCATCTTTCTCACTCACAC